ACTGTTGAGAGCGGAGAATAGAATAAAGGAGAAGCAAAACTCCGACAATTTTTCGTGTCTAGTGGTAAAGTATTCCTCCCAAGCCTTATGAATGAAGATGGTAGTGTTGAGCCACATCTCCATAGCTGTAAGTGCCACTAGGCTGCGTTGCATGGATCCAAAGCGTGTGGCTGCAGGACGAGCGAGTACTGTTAATGCCACCGCCTCTAACACCACCGCAATTGCTGCGAACACCAATAGTGCAATGTGTGAGTTGTCCGACACAACGTCTTGCTGAGCATCATAACTCTCTAGCAGCCGTGGATCACAGGAATTTGAGTAGACGAATAGATTATACGAATCGATGGGTGGTAAGGTCGGTTCCGCCGCCGATGTCGCCACCACCGCCGTCTCATTCGTCACCAGTGCCGACGACGTCGTCATCATGATTGCCATCGAAGTCATCATCTAAGCATCAACTATGTGCTGTGCATAAGGTTGCGTGTCTGGGTAGTTTGGCCCTCCTCATTGGTTTTCCTTTCTCCACTCCACCCCAGTCTCTCCGTTGATCGTGTACGCAAGTTGACTGAACTGGCCTGTCCAATCAAATCAGCGTGTGTGCTTTTGACCAATTACTGTATCAGACTGGTTCCGGTGTCATCTACAGTCGTGCTAACCCCTTCCATCTTCAAAGATGTTAACCTGTCATTAAAATTCGCCACACTTTGCCAGAGAACTTAACAAAATACCCATGTTCCGCGACATTTGATCAAATATTGTAAACTACTTACTCGTGGCTCTCACACACACCTTTTGTTTTCCCTTTTACACAGTTAACTGCATAAAGGTCACATATGCGTTGTTTTAGTTGTCACTCCGATTTGGTTCGGGGAGAAACAGTTTGACAATTCTCAGCTAAGGCCTTCTTATGATAAATCTAGGCCTGAAGTTGTTCTCACAAACTCCCTTTTTGATCGTTTTAAGGGAAGGGTTGAGGTCAATAGGCACTTTAACTAGTGAGGAGAGGACTAGCTTCACCCTAAAGTTTTGGCTCTGGCTGCTCCAATCAACGCCTTCCACCCCTTCAGCCTTGTTATTTTTTTTTAAAAAAAGGTCGGCAATAAACTCTGAAGAGTTATTTTAAATTAAAAGCTCTTAACTTGTTTTCACTTTAGGTGAATCACTTTCGGTTGTCTGATGCCTTCCGAGCCATCACCAACGATTAAATCTATTCACCCCAATTTTAAGAAATTAGCAAACTATACTGCTTTGTAGACGTTTTAAAGAAGTAAGCACCACATAACCAAGATTTTAACTTTCATATAAAGTGAAACATGTTATTGTTTCTTATTGTTTCTAAGATGAAAAAAATTCTTATCTGTTTTAAGACTCTCGCCATCTACAACACTCATTTAAAGAAGAAACGTAAAAATGATTGGTTTAATCGGTAGATGCAAAGTGTGGTGGTTATTTTGGCAGAGTTCTTGCAAGCTTATCGTTGCAGGATCCAAAAAACGTGCGCCTATCTGACCAGAGGGTGACACGTAGCCTTAGCCTTGACGCCGAACTAGTCAGCGAGTGTCCTCTAACCCTCCTCCATTCCCCCATTCCCTACCCTATCAACACAGAAATGCCCTTTTTCCTTCCTACCTACAGAGAAATATCAACTCTGTTAATCACTCCGCTTGACAAGTTGAGGGGTCTTGACAACGCTCCATCGCTAGTTCCAAAGCCTATCACCATTTTTAGTATGCTTCCACTTTAACTTTCAATGTTTGTAGTCCAGTAATGTAAACGAGTGGGTACAAATTTCATTGCTTATTATTAGAAGGCAAAGGTTCAGCGCTAAGACGCCACCCGCCCTCCACCATCCAGCCTCCCCTTCCTTGGCACAGCGTCCAGGAGGCATTAAAATTGTGAAACAGGGGATTGAAAAACAGCGCAGATATTTGTACTTTTGCACTTTGCAAACAGATGAGATTCGCGTTGTTAAGATAGTTGGCTAACTTAAAGGAGGCGATTATTCAGGCAAGTTACAATCACAGATCCTCCTCGCAGACCTCTCCATCCTGGCCCCTCAAAGGCAAAGTGCCACATCGACCATGTTGTTAAGGCTTTTCAACCATCTCTTTGCCATGTTTTTCCTTTCTTGACTCTGTGTTTGT